CGTTTTATCACTAAGGCAGATTCATTGTACCAGCCTTGCTATGGCAGTGATAGTAGAAAATTGTTTTGCCCACACTGATGATAACTTGCTTCAAATAGAAGGTAGGAAAAAAGTGACCCGAAAGTAGGGTAAAACTGAAGCATGGCCATGTGCCCACTCCTGTTACCAGGTGTCTCAGGGTAATGTGGATAAGGCGTATAGGAACAAAGCCACCTGCCCAGCATCTGCAATTCCTCTGGGTGCTCGCGTGACTCCTCGCTGCTCTTTGCAAGAATGGCAAGCTGCAAGGCCATTTGTTTTATAGAGGAGCCATCAGTTTCCAGCTCATTTTATTACATAAATAAAGAGTCAGGTAAAAATCTAGTGGTGTAAAGTAAAATTGCTGCTTGTAAAATTAAAAATGTTCGGGTTTAATGAGTGGAGAAGGTTACTTTTGACTCAGCTGCCTTAACGGCTGCAGTGAGTTGGCATGTATTCTCCACCGCTGCAGCTGTACCGCGTGCTCTAGTACATGCCTTCAGGGTGTGAGAGAGCGGAGAGAAGAAACATTCCCCAGCCACACATCAGAGTCCTGTCCAGTGACTCCAGTGGGAACTGGCCTGGGAGATTCAGATTTAATCCCCAAAATTCTTTCCCATGCACCGAGAGAGAGAAGTTTAGTTGGGACTATTTATCAATTCCATTAAACTAGCCAGGAGACTGAATGTGTGTGTGTGTGTCTCTTGTGCACACACAATGTTGGTCCAACAAGGCCAAGTTTCCATCTAGCCACATACTGACAGCAAGCTGATGAGCTTTGGAAGGCCTTGCTTTAGAGACATTTTCTTGTCACAGCTCAGCTGTTAAAGCTAAATATATTCAGGACCTTCTCAGTGCTATGGAACAGGCTCTGATGCTTTAAAAAAGGACCATTTATTCATCTGAAGACAAGCTGCACCAGAGAGCATGCATTGCAATTATATCCAGCCAGACACAGTGGCAGCTTGTGTGAAGTGAAATAGGGCCCTGTCCACTTCCTCAAGATTGTGGTTCTCTCTCATGTCCCCCCCCCCCCCCCCCGTGGTGGCTGTGTCAGGTGACATCCGGAACATGCCACAGTGACTGGACTAATCTCAGGCTAACGTGTGGCCCCTATGGACGAGAGCTGACACATGCAGGAAAGGGGCAGCATAGGAACATGCATGTTGGACTAACTCACTCTGAGCTGCAGCAACAGACGTTCGCTCTTCTGTGCTGTTACACTAACACCGGTCACCTGGGCTCAGTGTATTAAGACATAATTGTACAGCGTCAGTCTTAGCCTGCAGCACAGCTGTCCCCCTGCCTCCAGTGCCAGGTGCATGCAGACTCAGCCTCACTCTGGCCGGGTTACCCTGTTGGGCTACTGTAGCCGTTTGCATGGCCGGACTTAGCCAGGCACTGGCAAGTCCGGCCTGCGCCCAGACGCTGCTAGTGCGTGGGCAGTTGCTTCAGAACACTTTGACCTGCCCTGCACAGAACCATTGTGAAAGCATTTCTGGCAGACGGCCCGGAAGAAGATTGGGAAAACAAACCATGCGGGAGTTAATTTCCAGCTACTTCTACAATTGTGCCTGCTATGAAGAGAATTTTTGTTTGCTACCGCCAGGCAAGAAGGAGGGGGAAAGCCTGAAAAAGCATTCCAAGGAAATCTCTAACAGCCTGCAAGGGCTTCTTCCTTTGGCCAAATGGGGGCTGGATGCATCTGGCTAGTGAAAACTCACCCATGCTTGCCTCCAGTTGGCAGCAGCTAATTGCTTGGTCTAACTAGCTAGAAGCACTCTTTGGACAGCTCCCAAACATGTAGGATAATCAAGATTCTTCAGTCCGAGGTGTTACAAAAGCTTTTTTTAAAAAAAAAAAAAAAAAAACAACCACCAATTTTCTCCCCACTGTCAGACCCTTCAAGCATAGGATAATACTGATTATGTTAAAATCCAGTGCATTAAATGAACATACAAATTAATGGCAAGTCAGAAAACTGGCCTGAATTCAACAAGGTGCCATTCAAAGACAACTGCAAAGTACTTCACTTAAGCAGGTAAAATCGAACGCACAACTGCACAATGGGGGATAACTGCCACGATGTTAGTACTGTGAAAAGGATGTGGTGGTTACAGTGGATCAGAAATTGAATGAGAGTCAGCAATGCGATGCAGGTGCAAAACAGGCTAATAATCTGGGGTGTATTAACAGGAGCATCATATGTAAGACATGGGGGGAATTGTCCTGCTCTACTTGGCACTGGTGAGGCCCCAGCTGGGGTCCTGTGTCCAGTTCTAGGTGCCAGATTTAAGGAAAAGTGGCTAAACTGGAGAGTCCACAGGAGAGCAACAACAACGATCAAAGGGTTAGAAAACCTGACCTGTGAAGAGAGAGTAAAAACTGGGCATGTTTAGTCTTAGGAAAAGGAGACTCCAGGGGGACTTGATAAATCTTCAGAACAGTCCTTAACATATTTGAAGAGGACAGGGATCAATTGTTCTCCATGCCCAGTAAATACAGGACAAGAAGTAATGGGCTTACCCTGCAGCAAGGGAGATGTAGGTTAGCTATTAACTAGGAAAACACTTTCTAACTCAGGGGAGTTCAGCTCTGGACCAGGCTTCCAAGGGAGGCTGTGGAATCCCCCTCACAGAAGGGGTTTAAGAACAGGTTGCACAAACAGCTGTCAGGGATGGTCTAGAGTTACTTGGTCCTGCCTCAGTGCAGGGGGCTGGGAGCCTCTTAAGGTCCCTTCCAGCACCATATTTCTGATTCCATCCAGGTGTTTCTGCTAAGAGCAAAGTAGTCCGAGGTTCTGTTCTGCATTTGAGCTCGGAGGAGCGATCCCCAGCCCGGGCAGGCACACCCTCGCGAGCTCTGCTCCAGCTGGCATGCTACAAATAGCAGTGCAGCTCGGCCTAGGCCCCTGAATACGCACCCAGCTGGCCCCCCTGCGCACGTACTCGTGCGGCTAGCTGAGCTAGTCCAGCACCACTATTTCTATTGCGTGGAGGAATCGCACCTTCCTGACCTAGCCGAAGCGAAAGCGCAAGGCTGCCCGTCACAGTGAAGCAACATGGTGGACGATTTCACACCTCCCCCGTCTGCATACCTCACTGCACAAGTCCTAAAAACAAGTGGTTCCAGAAAGCCTCCGCTCCCCGCTCGGGCAGGAGAGCGCTGCCATGTCCCCAGCCACATGGGCCTGGAAGTGGAAGAGGTGGAGACACATGAAGAGATTTGACTGTTAGGGACCTTCGTGGCTTCTACCTCTTCCACCCCCCATCACCCAGGTTTAACCCGGGCATGCAGTCAAGGGAACTGAAGTTCGTTTATTATTATAAAAAAATTAAGTCCTGGGAAATCTTAAACCAAATACAACCCCCTCCAAACAAAGGGCCTAGAGGACAGTGGCAGGACTTTTCCTTGGCATGTTGCAGAAATGTGCCATCGCTGTTTTTCAGCTTACTGCAGGTCGAGTCACTGCTCATTGCCGCCGATTAGGACCATGAGCATAGGCCTGTCGCAGAGCAACAGCCAATCTCCATTTTCAAATGGTCAGATGGAGAATCCACACCACACTTGGAAAGTTGTTCCAATAGTCAATTACTCTCTTGGTTAAAAATTTACACCTTATTTCCACTCCGAATTTGTCCAGCTTCAGCTTGCAGCCCTGGGACCATGTTATCCTTTTCTCTGCTAGACTGAAGAGCCCATCATCAAATATTTGTTCCCAGTGTAGATACTTGTAGACTAATCGAGACACCTCTTAACCTTCTCTTTGTGAAGTGAAATAGACTCAGCATCTTGAGTCTACATGCATCTACACAGATTCCATCTTCAGCTAGTTTCTAGGCTAAAAATGTTTTAGGCCCTGATACAGCAAAGCCCTTAAGCAGGAGTAGCCCTATGGACTTTACAGGGACTTCTATTGTGCACAGGTGCTTTGCCTGACTAGGCCCAACTCACTGACTAGGTTACGGACATCTCGGTGGAAGAACACCTGGGAGAATGAGAACGCAGGGAGCAGAAGCCAGTGCTGGGAAATGGGAGCAGAGGTAGCAGCCTGGCCTTATCCCACAAGGAAGTCCAACAGCCCGATCGTTAGCTAAATATTAAATTTCCTGAGGTCTGGACAGTAAGTTTCTGTAAGAGGCTCTCCACCCCCATCTGCCAAGAGCTCCTTAAAAATCATGGGCTCTCCTTCTAGCTAGAAGTAGGTTTTCACTGTGCTAACCAGTGCACATTTGCTATCCCACCACGCAGTCCTAGGAGGCACGGCACTGTCGTTTTACCACTAGGTAAACCTAGGCAAGCTCCACCTCAAGCAGTGGGGTCACCTCATGGGAAGAGCTATGGTGCCTATTGTCCACTAGGATTCTACAGCGGGGTCGCTAACCTGCATTATCCCGTTTAAAACCCACCACCTCAGTCCCCAAAAGCTTTTTGGCAAAGACGACAACGCCTAAGAGGCTCTAGTACTCATGGCACTGTGTAAGATTAAAGATACAGAAAACACACTGCTTTGGCCGAGACTGCAAAAGGGCACAGTGCAGCCATGTCACAGCTCCTACAATCAAGAGAAAAGCACTGAAACCACAGCAAGCCCAGCCCCAGTCTCCAGTCAGGGGCAGCAACCAAGAGTTGTCACTATATGCCTGTTTAGTGATCCAGTTCTAGGTGTTCACATCACCGTGAGTGGCAACCTTGTGGAAAGCGTAAGGGACTGAATGGTCCCTGGCAGGCAATGCCCCATAAAACTAGTCCCTCTAGGTTATGGCTGAGACTCATTGGTGGGGAAGATTGTCCAGCTGGGGACAGAACCTAGTCTCCAGGGGTCAATGTGGTACCTCACTGATGTGACATTTTTAGGGTTTCCAATTTACCTGGCAAGACTCCATTGTGCAGTCAATGGAAGGACAAACCAAGTGCAAGAATATGTAGCAGCTGGTAATTTGTCTCCTCGTATATACGAGAACAGCAACCACACCTGCAGCTCTTTAAGGTTAGTTTATTGCAATGTGAACTATGACAGACATAAGAAATTTATAAACATACAATATCTTGGTTTTACAAGGTCACAGCTCAGTACAGTACAAGAAAATCTGTTTATACAAAATACTCTATTGGGTTTATAACGTTATTCTAGAGTATGAAAACACCCTGACCTGTTCCTTTTGTAGGTTTAGAATAGACTGAAATTAAACAACAAACAAAAACAACTCACTAAGTCAGCAGCCAAGGAAACAGGGCAGAGGACTTCACAGTTCATTATGTAATACTGTCTGGGGCGCCAAGTGACAGAGCAAAGGCCACCTGCTGTATGTTGTACATATGTAAAGTCTCAAAAAAAAATAGTTTCAACTTTATTCCTACTAGCCCTAGATCTGTATGAACTACCATCACTACTGTTTGTCTGGCATCTTATGTTGTGCAAACTCAGTTCTTCAGCAAAGTTATAGCTTAAAGTTTCTTTCTTCAATATGGAAATTGACCAGGTAAACCTAGGACAATGGAGAGAGGAAACGCTAATAGAACTATGGAACCAGATGAGGTTTAGTTTCATAAAAAAAACCCTATCCTTCAGCTGTCTGATTTAACATTTAGGTTTTTTGTTAAGAAATTTATATTTAGGCTTTTTCTTAAAACTTAAGTTATATATTTTAACAAGCCAAGACAGTATGAACGGCTTCTAAGGACTTGTCTACACTACAGGGAAAAGTTGATCTAAGCTACGCAATTTGAGTTACGTGAATAGCGTAACTCAAGTCAACATAGCTTAGATCTACTCACCACGGAGTCCACACTGCACTATGTCGACCCCACTCTTCTCGATCTGGTGGAGTACAGGAGTTGATGGGAGAGTGATCTGCGGTCAATTTAGCAGGTCTTCACAAGACCTGCTAAATCAACTGCTGATGCATTGATGGCCGCGCACTGGTAAGTGTAGACAAGCCCTAAAAACTCCTCTCTAAAACCAAGTAAGGCAGTGGCATCACTGTGTGCGGAGTCCCTGACCATCTGGGGCTACAAGCTACCCACATAGAAAAAACCTCTTTCTGCAGTTGAGGAGACTTCTTAATACTTTTAATTTTATTTTTTTTTTAAGGTGTGTGAACACACTCAGCCCTCAGTGGAGCTACAGAGTCAGTATCTGGAATGGAACACTTCCTTTAGTGTTTTTACTTTCCAATGAGCTTTCTGGATCTCAATTGTAAACTGAATTTGCATCAGAGTGTGTTGTACTCTCCAGACACACAGAGAACTACAAGTCTTTGTTTTTGTTCTGCTTTGACTTAATCTCACAAGAAATGCAGCTCAGATGATCCCCAACATGCTTCTCTGTGAAAGTGCTCATGGATTAGGTGAACTGCATTACATCACCACCTCTTACAGGCCAACCTGAAGAATCTGTAACTTCAAACATCCCACATGCTTCTCCCCTTAAAAACCTACCAAATACACACCAACTGGTACATCTCTAGAATGTGGCTATGAAACATACTAAAATATTTGACTAGGAAAAGAAAAAAAACAACATTTGATGGGTGAATTATACAAAAGTTTATTAGAGAAAAAAAACAAAAACCTATGCCTCTTACAGGATATCTGTTTAACATTCACTAAAACACAAGCACCAGGAGCCTACGGGTCACAGGCCATCTGCTTAACCCTCTTCACGCAAGTTGTGATATTTACCAGTGCTAAAAAAATAAATATGTACAAACAGAAGATATCCTCCCCTTCCCACTTTAAGGGTCTTTGATCTGAGCAGTTAGAAATTGCTTTAAATTCTCACTTAAACAGGAGCAAGTAGAGTTTTTTGAGGGGGCAGTTACGCAGCTTTAGCTATTTTACCTCATGGGCATATGAGAGTATTTGACTGTATCTGGCCCCATTTAGTGTGCAAAATAATAGGCCTCAGAGCACAGGACAATATGCCACGTACTCAAGACCACATCCATACCAGTAAGGGAGCCAGTCATGCTCTGAACACAGGACAGACTCCGAGAATATGTAACACAACTGATACCCTCTTGCTAAAAGCCAACTCCACTCCCACTGAAGTGAGTTGCATCCACCCTAGAAAACCAGCAAGCCTTTGCAACATCTTGTTTGGAACAGAGCTCCATGAAGAGTAGAATACTCTATTTTCCTGGAGGGGTGCACAATCTAAAGGAAGCTTCAGGACAGAGAAGCCACCTCTTAGGAAGCTCAGGGTCAGGGCTAGGGAAGAGGAAGGGACATAGTACTGGCCAACACTGGTAGAGATGCTGATTTCCTAAATGAAGCAGCAGTGGAAGACTTCCAGTTCCAAAGCCAAACTCAGTAATAGGATGGGAAAGATGGATGCACAGACCCGATATGTACCAGCATCAATTCCTTTAGTTCTGACTAAAGCAGGTTCCTAACTAAACAACTCAACTTTCTGCATTTGTACCCATTTGGTTTCATAGTGTTACTTTGAAGAGAGGCATCACAAAGAGAGTTTGGAAATTTCTTTGCCTAGGAAAAGTGGGATGATCTAACCCTGAATCCTTCCTGTATCAGCAAGTGTTCTTTATGAAAATGGGATGATCACAATAAAATGAGGATCCACCCCAAAAGGAGTGGAGTGAAGATAGTTATTTAAAAAAAGCCTTCCACTAATTTCAGTCATCAATTCCAACCCAAGTGTTCCATGAAAATTTAACTAAAGGGGGGAGGTTTAAAAAACTACAGTAGCTAAAAATGTTTTCAAGAGGTGCTAGAAAAGCCTACAAATAGAGCCAGGTTGTGTCTGTCATCCAAAGGAGTTTGGACTTTGTCATATTTTAAGACCACCCCTCCCACTAACCCACCTCAAAAATATCCCAACTTCCACTAAGAATCTGGCAGTTAAGAAGTATGTGAAGCAGTATTCATTTTAGACTCACCATTGAAGCCAGTTGAGCCTCAAAATATCCAGTAGCCTTTTTTGTGGCTTTAAAAAAAGACATACCCTAAACAGATCACAAAAAACTTAACTAAAACATGGTTTACAGAGTGGTATTAAGGCTCTTCCAGAGTAGTCTAGAGGTGGAAACTTTAAGGCACCTATTAGTACATTCATGTTACTGTTAAAAAAGCCAGAATATAAAAAAGTTTCCCACCCACGTAAGAGGATATGGCACATTTAGCTGTTACCTCTGTTGAATCCAGATGGAAAAACAACTGAGAGCTTTGTTTAAAAATGAACACTTGGTTTATACACTTCTGATGACTGCTCACTACCAGCACAGCATTTTCCCCAGACACTATTTTAGAGGAACAGCACTTCCTCCAATCCTCCAGGATTAAAATCAGTCCCTCACATACGACTCTCCTCCTCTTTTATGCCATCTTCTGTGTTTTTCTGCGGCACATTAGCCACATCATTGTTTGCCTCTTTTTGTTTCTCAGCCTCTTTTTGTTTCTCGGCCTCATCAATATTGGTTTCCTCCTCTCTCCCTTTGTTTCTCAGCTTGTCCTCTGCCTTTTGTTCTTTCTCCAGCAGCCGGTAGTTGATGCCCATTCCCACAAACAGGTAGATCCCAGAGACGATCAAAATGATTCCACAGGACCAGTATGTGTATTTGTAGTCACCGTACATGTCATTGAGTTTACCTGATGGACCAGAGAGGACAATGCATTATGTGGCTGACCATCTCCCATTATACAGCAGGAATCACTCTAAGCTAACATGCATAAGCTCTCCCCAGATGTCTAACCCGTAATGTGTGTGCATGCACATGCACCTGGCCACAAGAACAATCTCTGCTTAAAAGCTCAGGTTTTTTAAAGCTTGACCTAAGTGTTGATCAAATGCAGTGCTGGTAAAATGGCAATGCACATGGCAGTAAGCTCTGATCAATGTCCACTTAAATTTTAAAAGCAAACCCACTAGGAAGAGGCTGTTCAGGTATGGTTTGGGTAGACCAAAAAGTCCAGCCATTTTCCAAAACTGTCTAGGAGTCCCCCAGAATTTCTAGAAAACCTGTTTTTCAGGTGACATTCTTTTTTGACCAGGGTATCCAAGCTGTCACTGTAGCTTCCTCTAGTCACATCTCCCCAAGGTTAAAAGCCAAAGTTTGCTTTGCTCTAGGGGAAAAACTCAAACTTTCCTTGGACCCTGAAATTTCATATAGAAAAAGAGTGTGGACGCTCTCCTTGCAGGAAGACCCTCCCTGCACTGGGATATAATCCACACACACTCTAGTATGTCTATAATCACTTGGCCATTCCTGTTGGGAAGAGCCCTCCCATGTGTGTTCTGGCTACACTCATGCCTTTCTGCACTTCTGTGCCTTCAATTCTCAGCCTTCCCAGCAAGTGCCCTTTGGGAAGGAGCAGCAGTTGTTCCCTCCCCACCTTGGTATTCTCACAGTACACAGGCACCCCAGGAGATACATAAAAATACTCTACCTAGGAGAGGTGGTCCCAGGAGCACAGGGCAGCATTCCACAATAGTCACCAACCCGACAGCGCTGGAGAACCTCTGAGCCCCAACCAAATCCATCAATGTTTCAAACAAGACAGAGCTGAGCCAGCCAAAGGCAAATCCAAAGAACCCAGCATAGACGCAAAACCCAGCATAGGTGGTGGAGAAGGGTGCCAGGAGGTGGCACGCTCCATTATACACCACAGAGACAGCAAAGAAATATTGGATCCTCGGTCTAACCCACTTCGTGTTTGCCACCAGTCCCATGGAAGGCCTAGCCACCATGTCTACAAAGGCCAGAATGGAGAGCAGAAAGGCAGACGACTCATTACCAAACTCTTTACTCTTGCCATAATTGCTGAGGAAGACTAAGGGAGTAAACAGTCCAAAGAACATAATCACATTGCCGGACAGATAGAGCAAGAAGCCTCTGTGTGTAAACAGGGACAAATCCAAGAACTTGTTAATAGTCTGGTAAACTGTGAGCTTCTGCTTCTTCGTCTTTCCAGCAATAAGGTCCATACTGGCATCGCCAGCTCCTTCATCCGCTTTCACAGTGGACTTCCCAGCTTCCTGCAATACTTCTTTTGAGACCTCTTTCTTCAGCTGATCTGGCTTGGGGCCTATAGGTCGCATCAGAGATCCGGCTACACAGCAGTTCAGCAAAAGGCCACCAAGAATTAAAAAACTCCCCCTCCAGCCAAATATACTGAAGAAAAACTGGTTCAGGGGGGCCAGTGTAGACAAGAATACAGGGCTACCTGCCATAGCTAATCCATTGGCCAATGGACGTTTCTTATAGAAGTACTTGCCAATCATGGTCAAGGCTGGGTTCAAGTTAAATGCAAGCCCAAGACCTGGAAAATAAGAGAATACATACATGTGAGTTTAAAAATGAGAGATCTCTACACATCTGTAGATTATGGGATTAATGGATTGGGTACTGGGCTGAGTTCTTCTCATGTTATACTAAATTTAACTTGCACTGATCTCAGAAGTTATGTAGGGAGTAACTAATGGCAGGATTTGGCCAGTTACTGCAGATTCTCAGTGATATAGGAAGAAGGTACCAATTTTGCTAGTGAGCAAACTATTGGGGGTTTGTTTTTTAGAGCCAGAATTGAAGGAGTTCCAGGATACAAGAGATAATGAAGTTTACTAGTGTGAAATAAGTCTGATTTGAGATAAGATGGGGATGTCCAAGTACCAGAACACACATCCTTTGATACACACATCCTTCGCTGAGGAGGATTTCAGATTCAGAGCGTGTATAGATATATAGCAATTTATATACTGACTTAGGACAAGGCTAAGATGAACTTTTACGATTCTAACCCTAAACATGAGGAGTCATGAAAAGACCGCTCACCTCCCACAACCCCAACACAGAAGTAGAGCTCTTCCACAGTGTTACAGAAAGAGGCTGCAATCAAGCCACACCCGGACAGACAGCCCCCAGCAATCATTACTGGCCGACTGCCATACTTGTTCACCAGGATGCTGCTGATGGGACCTAGAAGAGATCAAAAGAGAGTTAACCAAAGGGGAGACATCTCTGGGTGGTATGCATGCACTACAAAGCAGATGGACACTAATAGGAGTGCACAGAGGTTTAGCTTCAGGAGTCCGTGAAAGCTGGGCATGGGTGATCAAGATGAGCATTAGCCATGGCTCTCCTGTCAAGAGGAGGGGGGTGGTATAGAAGCGCAGGAGAGCAAGGTGGATGACATAAGGCCATGTTGGGTTAAGTGCTCGGACATCTCACTCCAGAGCACCATGTTCCAGGCGGTTTAGAATCCAGACTGAAACAGTTCACAGTGGAACATCGCACTGGCTCCCCGTAAGAGCCTGTCTACTCTGCTTTTTGCAGAGCTTGAGAAAGTTTTTAAGTCCGTAGGGTTGCAGAGAGCCTCACAAATATGAATGGATACAGTTCTGCCTCCCCAAGTTTATAGAGACACAAGGGGACAGATTAGGCCCTGGTGTAACTCCAGGGAATTCAGTGGTGTTATACCACAGATTAATTTGTCCCAATAGCTTTGACACACAAGATCTGGTCCCACCCATCCCTTTGGAGTCAGTGTGGCCTAATGGATAAGGCACTAGGCTGGAACTCAGAACTCCTAGGATCTATTCCTGCCTCTGGCCAACTGGGTAACCTCGGATGAGTCACTTCCCCTTCCTTTGCCTCAGGTTCCCCATCTATAAAACAGTGATGGTACCATGCTGACCTCCTTTGGAAAGCACTGAGAGCTAATGATGTAAAGCCCTATATAGGAGCTAGTTATTTTTATTATTCTCTGAACCCTAATGCAAACTCTAGCTATTCTGGGCGTGGCTCTAACAACCCACCACACAAACACCCATGAATATGCTGCATGCAACAAGCTGGTCATTTTTTTCCCCTCAGGAGGGGGTCATGATGTACAGAACGGATATTTTCAAAAGCCTGTATGTTGGATAAGATTCTCTAGTAACTTTTAGATGTTGTTGGTACCAAAATATCAAGTGCATGTGGGGGCAGAAACAGGGAGATTTGAAGGGATTTTGTAAAATGCTTTAGTGAGTCAGAACAGAAAGAAGAACAGAGCTCAAGTGAGACTGGAGTTTAAATTGAGTCAATGTTGGGTTTTTTCGTGGTTTTAAAGTTTCACTTTGCTTCAGCCACAGAAGCCCGATGGAAACTTGAATGTTTGAGTCAAGCCATCCCACCACTGTGCCCCAGAGACCATAGTGTGATACCATGATTGGTTTTGTTAGATCCTGCTCCTTATTTTCCACTGGAATTCTACACATCAAAAGCCACAGTCACATGGAGATCTTGTCTGCATGCATGTTACCAATCTAGGAAAGGAAAAAGCAGGATGGTCCCCAAACTAACTGTTTTTTCCCCAAGTTTTCAAGAGTCATCAGTTGCTCTTTAAAGCCTTCGACCAACTGACATCTGACTCAGTCTGTGATGCTAGCTGTGACCACCTCCGCCAGACCAGCAGAGCTTCTGAAACATCAGCATGACTCATCCCCTGCACTAGTTAGTCGCACTAGCGCAGAGTACTATCTTTCTCTACAGCAGTGTGAAATGTGCTCGTGTGTGTCCGAGGAGAAACCTTTTAAACTTGTACATACTCTACTCCTCTGGCTTGGAGGGCAGCACAAGAAAAATCCCCCCCCCCCCTTTATACCCAAAGAAAATAGTAACATGAACTTTCATTATAGCTATCCAGGAAAAGAAGTGACGGGCAGAGAAGTGGGGATGCAGAGCAGTTGTAAAGAAACTTTCCCACAGCTACTTGGAAACAAGAGAGCTTGTGTTTATTTGTGCTGCATGTGATGCTGTCCACTCTTTAGGGATATTTCTGTCCTGAAGATCAGACTGCAGTTTTCCAAACTGGGTTATGTGGGTCTATCCTGTTTTCAACCATCCAAAATTTGATCTATCGTTTATCTTGTGGTAAAACCTAAGGGAGTCAGCCAGATCGGGGCCCTACTATGCCAGGAACTCTGAAATGTAGGAACCATCCCTGCCCCCAAAGGGCTTACAGCTCAGGCGTAATATGAGGAGGAAACACAGAATCGGGTGGTAGAGCACAGATGGGTAACAAAAACAACAGGATGTTTAGCACAGACTAGCTGTGTGCTGAATGCACAACCAGGGAGTAGCCACAGCTCCAAAGCCCCTCCAGCAGAAATATTTCATGTGTAGGGGAGGGATTTTTGTTCATTTGTTATTTTAATTACTCTTCCAATGTTTGAGAAGTCAGATTGCTGTGTGCACCCACAGTTTAAAATGCTTCATTACAAGAAACCCTAATCCAAAGTAAACAGTGATCAGATACAGTAGTGCATGCTCTACAGACACTAAAATGTAATTAAATAAACTGAATGAGCACCCATTGAACATTAACAGATCTGGTTTCACTATTAACAGACAGCAAGGTCAACGTGTTATTCCTGGCTACTCAGATGTGGTTTGACTATTTCACCTCTTGTTGAGCAGAACCTAGAAAATGTTTGAAGAGAGTCCAGTGGCTGTGTCAGCAGCCTGGCTTCCTACCTGGAGCCAAGGCACTCAGAAATCCCAGCGGTATTCCAAATGGCCTATGCCCTCCATCACACGCAGGGCCCGTGCAGGTACTTCCCAGCAGGCACAGAGTGCTGTACAGTTCCCGTAAGGAACCTCTGCAACTGAGCCAAGGCCCCATGCAAATCCGTAAGGACTGACTCTTCCTTTTCACATCCGCAGCACTGCATCTGGAGGCTGGGACGCTCCCTCCCTCACCCACCCACCCACTGTGTAGAGACACACCAGGAGTTTAGCAAAGTTTGAAAGATTTGCACATTGAACATGAAACCACTCCCTGATGTTCCTGGAGCAGATCCTAAGGACAGCACTGCAACATACCAGGGAATAGTAGGACTGAAGGCCTGCTAATATATTGTCAGGGAGCAGTATGTTAAGCTTGGCTTCATGACATTAGCTCTTACTGTGGCAAAAAGCAACGTTCATATCAAGTTGGGCCCAAAATTTAGGCTTCATAAAAAACCCAAAACTGCTCAGGGCAAGAGCCAGATCCAAAGTGCTCTGTGCTGGATGAGACACTTGGCAGTGCTTAAGTATCCTCACAATGGGGAAGGGGATCTTTGGTTTTGATTAAACAAAAGCTCAAAGATTGTGGTAGCACTGTAGCACATACACCTTTGAAACTGGCCACAAACTTAACAAAATACTGACTAGTCTATTTTCAGTGTGGAGAAAAGACAGCAAGAAGCAAAATTAAAATCTGTTTTTTCCTAATTTTAGGAGTAACTGAGACAAGGTCATTTCAAATTATTAACTTGTGTCCCTTTAACTCACTTGGACCAAAATCAAAAGCAACAACTACAAACCAGCACCTGAACTCAAGTGCCCTCCCCAGCATAGGCCCAATTATCCTCTGACCATTAAGATAATGCTTCATTACAAGAAACCCTAATCCAAAGTAAACAGTGATCAGATACAGTAGTGCATGATACAGTACACCATACAGTACAGATACAGTAGACCATTAACTTCAGATGAGTCACAACAGTGTCAAACTAGCAAGAGTTCAGAATTAGGCCTTGCTTTGCTGCTGCCCATTCGCCTCTTATTCTGGGGAGAGCTAGACCAAGTCCATGTCACTTGGTCAATCTGGCAGCTTTCACCAGAATAAAGCATCCTTTCGACACCATGAAGAAAACTGAGTTCCTTCAAGAATGTGCTTTTCAGGATCCAAATGAGTCTGGGAGTAACAGACCATGCATTGTGGCTGCTCAACAAAGGCTCAGCCAAGCAGAGTTTAGTATTCTCTCTGCAGATTTGTGAAAAAGCATGCAGAGCAATAGTACAGTCTGTCTGGGGTGGGGGTGGCAGGAGGATGAGGAGCTGCCTTTGCAAACATCACACACACACAGAACTTCCTCCAAAGATATATTCAGAAGCAGATATTGTATGCAAAGCACCCCTGCTTCCTGGAATGAGAGTTAGTCAGACATCCTAAGGTTACAAGAAAAGAGTTACTTGGGGAAAGAGGGTGGGACTGATGTCACATCTGGTGACTAACGCTTAACTCTAGGCAACACAGTTTATTATTTACTTAATTATCTCTTTACAAGCTCTTGGCCCATACTGTAAAAAGCTGTGGAAAGCCTGAAAGCAGTAATGCAGTCCTTGTGTGTACTTGTGCCACCCCTAAGTGAAACACCAAAGCTATTACAGAGGAGCATTCCTGCTCTGGAAAATTCTAGATAGTTTCAAACTTGGGCCATAGCACAAAACAGCACTTAGGTCACGTACACATCAACAAACCAGTTTGCAGGACCAGGCACGAGTGAGCTGTTGGGATTTTAAGACTTCTGCAGCTGTCATTGTGAAGGAGCTCCCCTAATACCTGGCAACTGAGAGAGGGAGGCAAATCACTTTAGAAAAAGATTAATAAGTGTTTCTCATTCCAAGAGCAGGTGACTGGTTCCGTCTTGCCATGTCCCTGTTAGCCATTACTGATCCTTCTGCATACAGGCTCCCAAGAGCGTTCAGGAGAACACGTTCACAGGACCACTAGAGACGGACAGGGAATGGCCTAGATCAGGTCCCACAAAGTCAGTTACAGTTTACAAGCTTGTTATAACATGGAGGCAGGGAAATGTGCCGGCTGCCTCACTTGCTGAGCTAGGACAAAGCAGGGACTGTTCCCCCATGGAAAAGCCTCATGCCCAGCTCCTGCCGGTAGCTGCTTTTGATGCACAAATGCAAATATGCGTCAGGCGGTTTGCCAGTTTGGGACAGCGGCAGCACGACAATCACCAATACTCAGAGCTGCCTCAAGGGTGGACACTATGGCTGTCACAGTGGGAGCTTCTTTTAGCCACGTAGTTTACCACGCACATTCACAGGCTGCTACAGAATACTGAGGAAGTGAGGACGGTGGTAAGAACCCACCTTCCCCATGTAATCAGAAGTTACCTATTTAAGGAAAGTAATGTAAGATTGGAGGTGGTCTGGAGTCTTGCCCCCATCAGTCCAAACCCCCAAGATGTGGCAGAGGGGGGCTTCACCAGCATTTTAAAAAAAAAAAAAAGTTGCTGTTTGCCTTGTCCAATTGTTTTCCTATACTTTTGGTCCCTGCTGCCATCTTTCTGCTGTTAAAAGGGGAGTTTGAGACAATCCTTTTGGCTAGGTTTGCAAAATGCCCTTGCTAAAGTTAGCCCAGGACCAGGACTCGCTCTGACCAGGTCAGATTTCTCAGCACTACAAGTGAGAAACACACTGAAAAGAAAGAAAATAAAGGAAGAGCAGCTGTGTTGTTAGTGTTCGGGCCAGATCCTCAGCTGGAACAAATTCACAGATCAGTCCAAAAGGGAACACTGATAGTCGAGTCTGACCTCCTATAGAGCACAGGACATAGAACCTCCCCAAATTCTTGTTTGAACTAGAGCCTCTCTTAGAAAAATATCCAGTCTTGATTTAAAAGTTGTCAGTAGATTACAGCCCCTTGGTAAATTGTTCCAATGGTTAACTATCCTAATTATTAAACATTTGAGCCTTATCACCAATCTGAATTTGCCTAGCTTTGGCTTCCCGCCATACCTTTGTCTGCTAGACTGAAGAGACCATTATCAAATATCTGTTCCTCACGTAGGTACTTACCGACTGAGCAAGTCAATCCTTAACCCTCTCTTTGTTAAGTTAAATAGATTGAGCTCCTTGAGTCTATCACTGTAAGGCAGGTTTTCCAGTCTTTTAATCATTCTCATGCCCTTTCTCTGAACCCTGTCCAGTTAAACATCCTTCTTATACAGTGAACATCAGACCTGGACAGACTATTCCTGTAGGGGTCACACTGGTGCCAAAGAAAGAGGTAAAATAACCTCCCTACTCCTACTCAAGATTCCCATTTATACATCCCAGGATCACATTAGCGCTTTCGGCCAGAGTGGTGCTCTGGGAGCTGATGTTCCAATATTATCCACCATGACCCCCAAATCCTCGTCTGCATTCTTTGTTCCTAGATCTATCACTTTACCTTTGGCCACACCACAGTGCATACTTCTATTGATTTGCTGGGTATAGAATCAGCTCTGCAAGCTGTAATTTCTTTCATCTATGACGACTCTCTGTAGGGACTCCTGCATTCACCATAGCTTCGTATGCCAGCCTTCCAGAAGATGTTAGAAGCAGACAAAATGTCACAGGTACATTCTAACAAGGGCAAGTGCAGAATTACGCAAGTCCTAATTCCTTGGAAAGATTTTACTTATAGCTTTGCAGAGGAGCAGGACAGATTAACCTCATTTTCACACTTTGGGCATTAAATAAAGTTTACGCCAAACTTTTCCAAACAAACCAGTTTAGAAAATTTCACCCAAATGGGAAACAGTCAGTCCCTATTCGTGTTTTGGAGAAAGGCAATACAATAGGAGACCATTAAATCACCTCCCTGTTGTCTCTCGTCTGCTTGCTTACCTCCTGCGTACATAACAGCCAGCATGATGGAGGAGATCCAGGAGACTTTGCTGCTAGATGCATCGAAGATGACCTCAATCTCTTTGAAAAACACAGTAATGGATTTGGGAAATGCATAGGAGAAGCCAATGGAGATGAAGGCTCCGATGACCACAGCCCATCCCCATCCTCCTTCTGGTGGGGTGTATCCCTGAGGGCCTCCAATTGCTGGCGGCATCTTGAGTGAAGTTGGTGGTGATTAAGCTGGGTTTCAAAGATCTGCAGAGAACACAAGACATCAGCACTTAGTAAAGAATACAACAGCATTTTACTCTAGAGTCTTTAGGAAGAAGCAGGTCCCTGGAGCTGTCCAACTGTCGCCCTTCTTGGCTTCCCCTAACACACAGAAGAATTCCCCATCAGTGATGGATCAGAAATAGATGCAACACTCACGTGAAACTCAGAAGTTGTTTAAGGGCGTTAGAATGGGGGCAAGGAGGTTACCTGAGAGATTCAACAAGGATCAAGACCACCACCCATTTAAAATAATAAAAGGCAATATTTTCAAGAGCGATTAACAATTCCAGGTGCCTTGATTTTTGAGATTCCCAACCGGCAACATCTTGAACAGAGCAGATTTTTAGAGGGTGGGTGCTCAGCATTTTCAGAAATTCAGGCTCCTGAAAGGTGTCAAGACAGTCAATCAAAAGATGCTTTTGAAGGGCTTTGCCTTAAGATATTTATAAGCAGTGAATTAAAAGCATAGATAACCCTTTGAAAGCTGAAAATAGAAGGCAGCTTCCTTGCCAACTACAGATCAGTCACACAGGTTTATTGTGGGGTTGGTCAGCAGTGCTGAGTTATTGGCAGCATTGAAAGTCTTGCTCCTGGAAAGTGCAGGGGTTGCGCATGCTGTTCAGTTATTGTAGAACCATGGGATTTTGCAAGGAACGTACTGTACAAACACAATCATGCACTGTCATTTATTTTTTAAAATACTGTTATGTGGATTTTTTCAAATTAACTATTTTGGGCCTCCAACCTGGCTAGTATCCACTTCCTCTTCTAAGCTTTAACATTCACAGAGCCATTATCAGTTCACTATCTATCACAGTGAGGGGGAAGACAAGATATATTCCTGCAAAAGTAGGGCAGCACAGGAAATGCAGACTAGCCTTGGGAGGTACCGATCTTACCACAGAGAAGGACAGTGTTAGAGCAGTGGTCAGGGCAAATTAAAAAGTGACTGGAGTGTGAAATAATTTGGGAAGCTGGTTTCGTTTTCTATAGGAAGTTAATATATGCTGGCTAGCATCCATATATTATGCTGATAATACCACTTGCAATACACATTCTAAGCATTTGAAGTATTAATGTAGCAGTTATATAGCCCAGATTGCCCTGTACCTTTGTTATAATCCTGTACACTTATGCTTAGTATCCCATAACACTTTGCATTAGCTAAAGTAAGTCTTGGCTTGAGTAGATAGGAAAACTGTCAGTATCAGGACAGATGTCTTCATAGCAACAGGAAAGGAGTCACCCATGCAAATCTAAGAGGTGCCTTCATGCCCCTTAGTACCAGGAATCTATGAGCTCAGAACAAAAATAAGGGAGCATCATGACCTGGAATGCATGGGTTCAGAACAAAAGATAAAGGGGTACACCATGATACCAGAAACAAACAAGATAGATAGTTGATTAATTAAATCCAGTTTCAAATGACATATGCAGTACCTTTTACTGGTAAACAAGTAGGGTGTACAGGGATGGATTTAGAGATGTAACTTTGGAGAGCACACCTTCTGCATAAGGGGAATATCACGGCACAGGACTGCTCTTTGGAAATTGGGTATCATACAGAACCTTCTTCCTGTACCATATTAATAAACCTGACTGACATTGATTATTTGGTCTCTTGCGTATATTTCATAACAAAATACCACCACAAAGTACAGCCAAACAACCACCCCTAGTGCCCTTACTAAAAGGAAATTGCTTTAGAAGTTAGTGCTGGACTCTCCCCTTATATCCAAAGAGTCAGATTTTAATACCATCAAAAGGGGGGATGGCAGGTGGAAGTGGGAAGAGACAGGAGAAATAATATCAAATGACTAAAATGTGCCTCTCAGAGAAGAAACAGACGTCTCTCCTTGAGCTAGGTACCATGTCAATGCTTCTATTCTGCTTGTGCGTGAAGCAATCTCTGAAGGTCACTAAATGCAGCTAAACTTAGCAATGACTGATAACAATGGAAAGTTTCAATAGGTGCCTACATGCTTGCCACAGAATTCATAGGGCTTGAATTCTTGTCTGCTTTGATGCAGCTCATGTTGCAACTTCACTATCAGGCCATCCCATTACATATAATTCAGGGTGCTTTAAAGTCTAATTTCACAGGCTGAAACCACCAAAGGTTTCCTGCAAGATTTTCCAGTTAGTCTTTGGCAGTTTCTAGGCATTTGGTTCATCCTTCCCAATTTCTCCTCTCTGGCCCACTCCTTAAATACAATTCTGCTACTCCATCACCCCCTCTGTTGGGCCCTGGGGTGGAAAGCAGCGCTGCTGTCTTATGCTCAGGATTTTCATCACAAATCTCATGCTATTCGTTGGTTTCGGTAAAGCCCAGCTCCTGGAATCATGTAGTTACAAAGTATATCAACTTTCATTTTTAAAGTAGTACATTTCTAGCCAGCCTGGTTGCAGAGAAAAGCTTGAATGCATGAAGCAAATTTATGCCAAAGGCTCAGAAACAGCAGACAAATACAGAGGCTAGAATGTATTTTTTTTAGTCTCATGTTATTTTAGGGCGAGGGTCATAGTTTTTCAATGCTTATGGCTGGCCACACTGAGTAAAATTACACTCATACCAACAAGAAAAGGAGGACTTGTGGCACCTTAGAGACTAACCAATTTATTTGAGCATAAGCTTTTGTGAGCTACAGCTCACTTCATCGGATGCAACCTTGATTGTTATCTCAAACTGAACTGACTTGGGACTTCACTGTGCAGCCATAACACTACAATGTGTAGTTGTAAGATAGTTTCCATTATGAGCCCAAGAAAGTCAAAGAAAAATAGCATTTAGACACATTTCTGTATCTCCAAACAGACTGAAGATCCCTAAAGTTCTCCCTTGGTCTTTTGTCACGGTAAGCATTGCTAAAGGAGGAAGAGCTGCTCACAAACAGATTGCAGGGAGGACGTCATGCGGAAGGTAGAGCTCCATGCTGTAGGATGGACATAGCTATTTCATATTATGAAATGGCCTTGTTTTGACTGAATGCCTCTCACCACAAGCAGCAGTTGAAACAAAGATCATGCACAAGAGCGAGTGCTGAACATTTGTGCTGACTGCAACAATGCAGGGAGAGGATGGAAGAACTTGAAAGGAGCAGATGAGCCAAGGACAAATGCTGTTTGTTTATACATTCGCAAGTGCTATTGACATGCTTAGCTGCAGTTATACTGACATTTCAAAACAGCACCCAATACCTTCAGACCCAGGATACAGAGCAAGACAATTAGAGCACCCCAGACAGGAACCACAATCTAACCAGCCTGCCCCTTCAAACAACAGCTTTGCTACATACAACATAGCAGGCATTCCTACATGCACATGGGACCTGCTAAGGATTTACAGTGTAATCTTGTGAGCACTTATCTCCCCACCCCACAGCAAGACAGGCTCTTGAAAGTCACCATGGAGGAAATGCAGAAGCATGTGCAGCTTTAAGCAGGAAACAGAAGCTTCCTTAAAAATCAGGTAATTGTCAGTTGGCCCATGAGTCTCAGCACAGTTACTGCACCTGAGTTGTTGCAAACCCAAAACGCAGAACAACTATATCAGTGATAACAGAACGCTCTGTAAAGAAGGCATCTCAGGGCTGGGAAGCTCTTCCAGGACCCCATAAGCATGGCCTGGCAGGATAGCATATGGAGATTAATCCTACTCTGGCAAACTGCATCTTGTATTAACTTCGTGAGGAGAGGGTTCCAGGTATTCTGCTGCTGCAGAATTTGGCACAGCATCTACCCCTTGCTGAGCAATTGTGCTCCACAATCTAGATGTTAAATGAAAAGATGGAAAGAATTTCTCGTCTGTAGTTAGCGATTTTTCAAGGTTGACTGGATATAAACAGACATAGCACTGTCTTCCTGAACCTGTGAGCAGCCTGAAACAATGGCTCCAAGAGGGGCAAATGGCCCTATTTGTAGCAATGCATTCATTCAATGGTAACTGTGAATATTAATTCACATATGACTATGGGCTTTTCTCCACTTACGGGTAGATCAAGGCTGCAACCATCAATCCATCAGGGGGTTCAATTTAGTGGGTCTAGTGAAGACCCGCTAAATCGACCGCAGATTGCTCTCCTTGTTACGGTGGAGTAGTAGAGTCAATAGAAGAGTAAGGGGAATCGACGGGAGAGCGTATCCCATCGACATAGCATAGGGTGGACCCTGTGGCAAGTAGATCTAAACTACGTTGACTTGAGTTACGCTACTAACATAACTCAAATTGCGTAGGTTAGATCGACTTTCTCTCGTAGTGTAGACCTGCCCTCATTTAGGATGAGCATCCAGCTAGTGTGCTTATTCCACTGTCCTACACTGCCTTGATACCCGCCAGAGTGCCAAAAGTCTCAACTTCCTTTTCCCCGGTGGCCAAAACCTCCAGCTTCACCTCCAGTGGCTCCTACAACATCATCAATATGAGTCATATCAAGAACTGAAAGTGCAGGGACAATGCAATATAGACTAAATTTCACCTAAAGATAGAAGAGACCACTATACAGAAGATATTGTTCATTTTCATACACGATCAATTAAAAAACTTTTATTTAATCTAAATGAAGCTGATGCAGAATTGGCAGCCTGAAGCATCAGAAACCCTGCTGCAGAATTTCATTCCATCCACCTGCAGATTACAAGGGACCTTGGGTCTATTCACCCCAGCTGAGAAGTACCTCGGGAACACTAGCCAGGACTCCTGAAGATCAAGAAACCTTCTGCTGATCACGCCAAGTACCATGAACGGTGATCTCATGGAAGTGTAATCTGGATCAAAACAGGTGGCTTCTGACTACCTCACCTCCAAATACTAGTTCATGTTCAGGCATTTGTGCCTTGAACCAGCATACAGCAGCAGCAAGAGGAAACAAAGCATTGGAGACTGTTTTAATTAAACCTTTAAAACTCGTTTAGTCTCTGTTTGACACCGCCACCACTCATTTCTTTTTTGCTAGAAACATATTTAGACAGCTTTTTGGCCAACA